CGTCTGTTGTATCTCTCACTCAGTAAAGTGGTTTATTATTGTACCGAACAACAGAACATGGTGTAAGAAGTGGGATACGAATATGCACCCGATTTTTTTTTTCTCCCTCCTTTTTGTTAACCTGAACGTTAAGAATTTTTTACTCTCGAACTGCCTCTCCTTTATTATTTTTGTCCCCCCTGGTGCACCGTGAACTTTACAAAGGTTCCTACCTATGAAAATGACCTGATACTACATCCCCCTTTCTGAGATACAAGTGTCCTTTCCTTTAGGGGTACAGTACTAGATAGCCAAATTCCATAACCTGTAATGCAACAGTTGTTCATAGTAAAAGCGAAATGACTTGTTTCTTGTTGCTATTTCAAACACAATAACCATAACAGCATCACAAGTTAGAAGGGTGGGTTAGACTGCCCATTTCCTTCTGCTGAGTGTGGGGATTATTCTGCCTTATTAAGCTCTCAGCTCTCTGTATCTCATCTTTAAGTACATACAAAGTTCTTTAGGCAACTTGGGACCTCTCTCTCTCTGACAGGGTATCGGCGTTCAGTTGTTTGGTACTGTGGCTGCTGCTGCTGATCTTTAGGCTCTGGTAAGACAGGTGTTCTTGTTGTATCTAACAGTGTTTGCTTCAGTAGACGTGTCAGGTAAGTTGGTTGCAATTTCAGGAGTCACTGGTGTAGAGAGATGGAACCTGTTGCTGTACTGGAAAAGATCTCCTACAATGGACCACGGTCTGGTCGGAAACAGGCAGCAGTGGCTCCTTTAGCTTGGTTCTCTCACGCGCGCGTGTATCACAGTTTTCAATCATTTGTTTCAGTTCCTTGCTGAGGCCCGGCCACCACACTGACTGTTTAGCCCTCTCTCTACATTTCGTTATGACCAGATGTCCCTTGTGCAGCTTGTTAAGTATGTCTCCTCAGAGTGATGCTGGGATGACTCTTCTGTCCCCTTTTAGTAGCACTCTAGTAGTTTTCCTCGGTGAGTTCACCTGAGAATGGCAGATAGGGCCAAAGATATTGGCTAGAAGACTTGAGAACTACATACCACATCTTATCTCACCGGACCAAACAGGATTCATTCGTGATAGACTGTCCGTCTCAAATGTTAGGCGACTTCTTGGCATCACTCAATATTGCCAGACAACACAGTGTAGAGCTTTAGTTATTTCTGTGGATGCTGAGAAGTTGCGCACGGTGCGCTGCGGTGACGTTGCACAGAAGCCCACATATAGAGACCTGGGCTGCATTCAGCAATGACAAAACTTGACAAAGCGTAATGTGGATTGAAACAGAAAAGGTGTAGCGCTGAACACTGTTGTGTCATGCAAGCGCTGCAACTATGGCAGCTGAGAAAGCCCTTCCTAGCGTCCCTTTCAAAGAATTTTCAGAACCTGATTAAAAAACTGTACAGTAAAATACTTTCAGCAAACAGTTTATGGGATGTTAGGTTGGGTCTTTGTCTTGCGATTGTTGTCTGAGATCAGGGGGGCGCAAAAGGGGTAATCAGTTACAGCACTACTTTGAGCTATGAAAGGCGCTCTATAAACAAATAAAACGTTGTTTTGGTTATTATTATTATTATTACTATTATTATTATTATTATTATTATTATTATTATGGGTTGTGTATATGTTGTGACATTCTATTTCTTTTTCTCTTTCATATAGTTATTTGTTGTTTTACTGTTTTGATTGTCGGCTTATTGCTTTATTTTATTTTATTTATTATTGTTGATTGTCGGCTTATTGCTTTATTTTATTTTATTATTGTTGATTGTCGGCTTATTGCTTTATTTTATTTTATCTTTCATGGAGTGCTTGTTCATTTTTACTGGCTTCTGAAACTGAAAGAGAAATTCTTGCATGGATCTCATTCAGCTTCTCAAGCAAGATCTCAATTTCCTTGATTTCTTCATCCCATTTCTCTATTCTTCTTTCCATGTCTACAACCTTTTTTCCAAAGGACTGAACAGCATTCCTCATCCTTTCAGCTAAACCACGCTTTGTCATTTTCTTTGTGTTTCTTCAAACTTTCTTTCCTTTAACCCAAGTTCTTCCTCTCTGCTCACTTTCTTTTCTCCGCTCTGTTCTTTCTCTGTGCTCAGTTCTTCCACTCTGCTCATTTTCTTTTCCCTGTGCTCGGTTCTTCCTCTCTGTTCAGTTTTCTCTCTGCTCTGTTCATCCATTCTCTTTTTTCATTCAGTGCCTATGTGCCAATTCCAATTGCTCCGTCTTGTTACTTTCAGCTTGCAGTTCCTCAGTCTGCGATGCTGGAATTAGTCTCTGTAGACTCACAGTTTTCTTTTCAGGTGTTCTGCCATTTTTGCTAACAGCTTTGTTCTGCAGATCCTGGACTCAGAACCCTGCATTGGAAACATCGAGATAAATGACCACGCTGTCTACAACATGTGCTGCAGTAAAGGCTAAATTACTTAAGACACAGGAATTCGAATGAGGGTTAAAACTGGCGATGAGCGAGGCAGATAGACGGAGACGGGTGCCTGAAGTACCTCCTGCTACACAGTACAGCTGTAGTAATAAAATATAAACAGTTTATTTTTCTTTCTTTTCAGTTGATTTCAGTTTAAACAGCTAATAGTGAATATCCATGTCCACAATCTAAATACTAAAAATGATTTCGAGGGGTCACGTGATGACGCTGAGCTGAGAGGTTTAGAACCACGCCTCTCCTGAAACCTTCCACCGAAATGGTTTAATTTTACTCACACTTTGCATAACACTTCAGTGCAGTCTTGGGGTATTTTACAAGAGTTGCCGAGTGAGTGTAAATCTCGACTAACATGGCAGAAAAAAACATCCAAAAGGGACAAAAAGGACAAACGAACCATGGTGGCTTCAGACCAAGATGGCGACAACGCAGACAGCAGTGATACCGACTGAGTAATTAATGACATTACCGGTAACATCACAGCGGCTATGGACCAAAGGTTTGGCCAGTTTGTTACAACTCTGGATTCGATTGCCATGAAAGTTCAAGACAACAGCGTTCGGCTGACTGAGGGAGAAACGCAGGTTTCCAGTGCGGAGGATAAGCTAACTTCAGCCAAGTCCGAATTTGCGGCCTGCAGGGAAAAAGTGGAGGAACTGATGGCGAAGATGGATGACTTGGAGAATCGGAGCAGACGGGACAATGTTATCCTTACAAATCTACCCGAAGGTGCAGAAGGACGGCAGCCTGTTGAGTACTTTGAGACATGGCTTCCACAACTTCTCGGGCTCGTTTGCAAGAATGACCGCCTGAAGATCGACCCAGCATGTCGGCTTGGACCAAAGCCAGAGCCGACATCTCAGCGACCACAGCCAGTTATCATCAAACTCCACAGCTTTCGGGATAAAGTCAGAGTGATGTCTGCTGCCAAAACTAAGAAGCAGCTGACGTTTCAAGAGCACCGGCTGCATATTCAGCAGGACTTCTCTGTTAGTGTTCGTCAGAAACGCAGAGGGTTTAGTCAGACTTGTACTCCAGCAGCGTGGGATCAAATTCGCCATGCTGTACCCGGCTACTCTTAAAGTTTTCACTGATGCAGGTGCGACATCTTTCTCCTCACCAAAGCAGGCTCTGGACTGTCTGAACGCCGCCGGCTATAGTCAGTCTAAATAGGGAAGAGGTGGCCGCTTCTGCTGGGCTTTGCACCGTCACCTAATGGTCTGTTAAGTTCACCAACTGTTTTCTACGTTTAAAGATGACGTTAGTTATACGCTCATATCTGAGGTTGCTGCTGTCCCTGCGGCATATTGCTGATGACTCGCATGTGTAAGTCACGTACTGCCATAGTAATTGCTGTAAGAGCTTTAATCAAACGTCAGCCTATAGAGGACAGAGTAAAAGTTCATTGCTAACCCTTGTTGTATGTATATATATAGCAATACTGCATATGTTTATTATCATACACTATTATGTGTTTCTGCATCTGTTTTGTGATTTGATTCTCTGCATCCAGGGTTTTATTGTAAGGAAAAGTGTGGTTAGGTGCAGGGGAGATTGTGATCAAGGTAACCACTTACTGAAAGCTTACTCGTATCTTTGGCCTTGCGGTAAGGGCCTCTCAAACATGTGTCCCAAAGAAATCACATTGTTTTGGGTTGTTTGTTTTTATGTCAAGTTCAGATGTTCTACCACGTTATACTATGAGAGCATATTGTATACAGTTGTTTGAGTAGGGAGTTATTTCTTTTTGGACATTATTTCAGCCATCCATTTTTAATATAAAGACCATTGGATGCCATAGTGTTTTCAGTTATACAAACATATGAGTGATCTTAAGATAAAGAGCTGGAATGTGAAGGGATTGAATAGTGCCATTAAGCGTAAAAAAGTTTTGTCAGTCTTAAAAAAAAAGAGA